TTGATTATTATGCCGGAATGAGAGTATAGCTCCTAGCCATATCGGCCTAGAAAACTTTTCATTTTCCGTCGGTCTTAGTACACGATGTAACTGCAGAAGAGTCAAGTTTTAAATAGGAAAAATATAGAAACTCTTTGGTCATTTTTGAGCGAGATGCTAACGGTCTAATCATATTCAATGATCTATGCTAAGCTGAAGCTAAAAGTGCTACCGCCAGACCCGGAGATCTGCTGAATGGATTCGAAAACTGTAAAACTCAACTGTTTAACTTTAGAGAAGATGGGCCTATTTTCAAAAATAGTGGAGTGTTCCTTTAACACCTCACACTGTGAATGGCTAATACAAATTTTGCAGCTAGTGCAGCTGTGTTGTCATCTTCTCCAAGTATGAAGGGCATTTTCTCAGTATCACTACTAAGTTCAGTAAATTTCTGCAAAAATCTCAACAATTCTGTGTTTTTCTGTCAATATGGGGTGCTGTGTGTACATTAATGAGGAAAAAAAATTAACTTAAATGATTTTAGCAAATGGCTGCAATATAACAAAGAGTGAAAAATTTAAGGGGGTCTGAATACTTTCCGTACCCACTGTATATATACTGTATGTCAGTAGCTGAATGTACTTGGGTGGAGCACAAAGTTATATTATGTGGTTTGATGTATTTTTTGCTGAGGCGATCAGTTTTCACTCACTGTGGCAGATCATGGTAATGTTGGCAATGCACACTCACTAGATTGTGGTTGGTGGCATTGGAATCGTCTTCAGGAAATGGTTTGGACACACCAAGGGCAACACAGTTGGCAAAGATGGCCAGTAAAATGAATATAACAAAAGGCTTAAAGGTCTTAGGTCAAGGAAACAACTGTCTTGAAAACATACAAGAGAATGCACAAGGTTTGCACATACACACACTTGGGCAAAAGGATATTTCCACTCCACCAGGGCCAGTGCGGCCATGCGTACAGGGTTGCTGAGAGTCAGGCAGCACAGAGCTCTGGGTGCACGCAGGGCTGATTTGTTAGCTTGTGTGTGCTTCTTGGCTCCTCCAGCTCTCCTTTGCCCTGCAGAACCTGTTGAGTTGAGTGTGTCCGTCTTGCTGGGGTCAGCCAAACCGACCCCATCTGAAATAAAGGGTTTTCTTATTAAAACTATGTTTCCAACAAATGATCTCCATTTCATTTAAATATTAAAGGATTAGTTCACTCAAAACAGAAAATCTCTCCAAACATCTATCATTTTTTTCTTCTGTAGAACAAAAAAAAAAGAAAAAAGAAAAGGAAAGTGAATGAGAGCTGACAGTAGCACTTTGGTTTACGAACCAATTCTCAATATTAACTAGTTTCTTATTAGCATGCATATTACAAGCATATGTGACCCTGGACCACAAAACCAGTCATAAGTAGCACGGGTATATTTGTAGCAATAGCCAACAATACATTGTATGGGTCAACATTATAAATTTTTCTTTCATGCCAAAAATCATTAGGATATTAAGTAAAGATCATGTTCCATGAAGATATTTTGTAAATTTCCTACCGTAAATATATCTAAACTTAATTTTTGATTAGTAATATGCATTGCTAAGAACTTAATTTGAACGACTTTAAAGGCGATTTTCTCAATATTTCGATAATATTTTTGCACCCTCAGATTCCAGATTTTCAAATAGTTGTATCTCTGCCAAATATTGTCCTGTCCTAACAAATCATACAGTAAGTACATCAATGAAAATGTATTTATTCAGCTTTCGGATGATGTAAAAAATTGACCCTTATGACTGGTTTTGTGGTCCAGGGTCACATTTTGGCTATTTATTACTCATAAAGCACATATTAAATGCCTCATTCTGCATGACCATATTTTAGAATCCTAAATCCTACCTCATACCCAAACTTCATCTAACCATAACAATCATCTTACCAGCTATTAATAAGCAGTAAATTAGGAGTTTATTGTGGCAAAAGGTGTAGTTAATAATTAGTTAATAGAGAGAATTGGTCCCCAAACTAAGTGTGACAAAACTGGCAAGCAGCAAACCAGCACCAGCACATTATTAAAATATTTTCCTTTGTGTTAGGGTTAGGTTAGGGTTAGTTAAAACATTTCATTTTTGGGTGAACTCTGTAAACACATCAACTCACATCTCAAAACACTAAAGTGACACCAAAAATAAGTGTTCAAGCTAAACTATAAAGGCAACAATATAAGATTGCATCCAGTGAGGTTTAGGCCTATGTGATTGGTTTCCAACCTTCAGAGCCTATGATATTTAATAACCACTATGCATTGAAAATAGTGTTCTGGCAGCCTCTCCAAAAACAATGACATATAAGTCAAGCTACACTGCATACTAGTTAATCATACATACGAGTCTTACATTTTGCATTCACTATTCAGCAGAACTTTATAAAAATGTTAAGTAAAGAAAGAGGCCAAATGTGGCCAACAGATACTGAAGTACACTTAAGAAGCCTTATAAGGGATCAGGCAAAACTAAGTGACCTAGTCCGAAGAGAAAAGAACAGCTAGTATTTGATACTCCAAGAACACAATGCCCATTACGAACTCAACACATTACACTACAATTGCTACACAGGGTTTATTAAAACATCTATCTATCTATTGCAAGAAATGTGTAATTTTAACTGTAAAATTTAGTAAATACAATACGGGAAAAAACTGTCAATAGGTTAACAGTAAGTTCAGTAAGTTTTATAGATTAAAACTGTAAAATATCTGACCAGACATTTCATGTAATTTTACAGTAAAATGCTGTTAATTTGACAGTTTTAGAAGTAAAAATAACAAATCAATGTATAATTTACAGTCAAAAACTGTAAACTGATATTCCCAGAATTCCCTGCATGGCACTCCACATATGAAAGTATTTTGGTTTAAATAATCATGTTTTTTTAATAGTTTTTGTTATTAGTTATGTATATTTGGGCTTTATGTTACATCTTCTGTTGTTTAATGAAAGTTGAATGCATTATTTAAGTATCATGTGTGTTACCATGATGGTGTTTAGTGTTTGCATGAATGACTGTGCACCTTCTATATATTAGTTTATACTTCTGCTTGTGGCGAAGCTACTTGTGATGAGCTTTGATTCTTCATGTTATTTTCTCTTTTACCACCTGCATTATTATGGTGGTTGTCAGTATGTTAAAAGTACAAAACAGATTTTAATAGCAGTGTGCATTGTTGAATTTACTGGTTTACATTCAAATTTTCTTGTTTGTAAATTACAGTTTTATACTGTAAAAAATAACAGTTTTTGGTTGAAATGTGTTTACAGTTTTTCTGTATTTTGTACAGTGTAAGAGTGTGAACTGCCAATGCAAACATGTAATTAAAAATGAGAAGAAATTGTTACTGCACCTAAAATATTTTTCTATATTGTAACTTTAAAATGTAATTTGTCAACAACCCGTTTATTATTTTAGTTGTTCTGCATTATGCCTGTCTACTGTACTGACAGTGTTTCCAGTGCAGGTGTCGTTATATCACTCAACTTTCAGTACCGCATCCATGTCCACAACTTTTTCAGCACCGTCTGCTGCTTACTCACATGAAACAATAACTTACAACAGCTTCCATATCTATTAACTGTATCAACAGGTAAAACAGCTCACGCGCGCCGCTCCTAAGACCAAAAATAGTTTTTCTTGAATATATTTATGCGAATAAAAACACGTGGATTGTTCTATGTGTAGCACTCATTAAGGAAAACGACTGTATAATCTATCCTCGCGTGGTTAAACCGTGAATTCAGGATTAACTGATGTGAGCCGGTTAACGGTGATGATGCCCTGAAACCCCTCAAAAGGAGGTGGAGACACGAGGACAACGCTGGACGCCTTGAAGCATGTTAACCAAATATGTTTACAGTTTTTTTTTCAGTAAACTACTTGTTCCGTTTATCTTTTCCTCAGATCAAAACATGAAACGAAACTCTAGTCACATTCCTATAGTATAAATTGATTTGAACGACCACAGCGCCACTAGCTACCAGACGAAAAGACAAAGGCTGCAGATATATGAAGGTTTATTTATTTATTATAACCACTGACTGCACTGAAAATACAAGAAGGCAGCTGACGTTGTAAACATTGAATATGCAGGAAATACAAATTACTTCATTTTTTGAAGGAATGAACACTTAAGCAGTGGCTTAAACCGAATGACTCAAATAAAGTAAGAATGAGCACATGTGGTGTTACATTTCTCAGACATTTTAATCAGCCTGTGGTCCGTTACACCTTCTGTAACACCTGTTTATTCGATTATTATGTCTATGACTACAGTTCATTTCCCCAACAATGCCAATTTGTGATGCACAATCCACATAAATGGAAACATGATTCATTTTCTTGGTCAATCATTTGTGTTGCAATAACTGAGAAGTATTTACCTTGGCACTTTGTAAGAGAGCAAACACAACTTATGGCATGGCACAACTTGGTTGAAAATAAAATAACACGAAAAATAAAAATCAATCAGTATAAATAATATTTGGTCATGTAACGAACAGGCAAAAAAGACACTGTCTTCAGATATCCTTCAAACACAATTCACAAAATCGAGCGTTCCTCACATAAAATACATTAAGGGATGGAATAAAAGTGTATGCACAATTAAATCCATAGAATGGAGCTGGACTGTTACTCACGTGTAAAATGTGCAATGAATAACACTAACCTACATCCTATTCACAAGGCATTATATTGCTGTTTTTATATTTGGACACCTAATAGTTATACACACCTGATCCTGTAATTCCACTTTTTGCTTTAATTTTAGCAATCCTTCATATACTGCATCATAATTTAATCCTGCCCACTTGGCCCTTCCTGCATTTCTGAGAGACTTTAGCAATATGCCATACATGATTTGCCAATATCAGTTTTCATATACATTTTAGGATACGCAAGAAGCTCCTAGGATAGAAGGGGTGAGCGATAGCACAGTTAGGTAATAGTAAACACAGCTATGATCCAGCCTCTTGTTCCTGTCCCAGTGCTTCCAGCAGCAGGCCCATAGGAGTCCTCTTCAATCCTATACTCTCCAGCTTATTCTCCAGTTTATTCTTAAGGTTTCGGAGTCTCACTGAAGCATGGATAAGGATCACTGCGAGGAGGAAAAAGTCAGAGAGGACTACAGCCGATCAAGCTAGCATTTCATTATTTATGCAAAGTGTTAACAGCACAGAAACAAGTGAAAATAATATTCAATGATCTAATGAGATACTGACACAGACAAAAAAAGACTTATGAGGCAACAAAGAATACTAACTTAAAATAGGGAAGGCAATGCCAAAGAGGAAAACAGCTACCCCTCCGAAAACAGAGAGAAGAAGGTAGCTGGAGCCCAAAATTGCAGCGAGGGACAGCGATGGATGATTCCTCCGGAAACGTCGGATTACAGCCTTGTTTTCAGCCGCCCAGACAAACCCCAAAAACAGAAGGATCACAACGGTTGCCCCAAGAATCAACTGGAGTGGTTGGAAATACCTGTTACAATTACATGATGCACAAAAGAAAGATAGATATAAAATTAACAAATACATGATAGTCGACATCATCATAAGAAAGAATAACACTTACCTAAGAGTACTTACAATAATTAAAAACAACATACACAAGAATAAAACAATTCTATAAATAGCTTTTATTAATATTGTGATCTTGCATTTTTATATTTTCATTAAATGTTTAATCATTTTGTTGTCTTAAATTGTCTAAGTTTTTATTAATTTTTATTTCATTTTTAGTCTCATGTAGTAAAACTTTAACCTTATAATCTTACAACTTTATAACTTTTTCTGTATATACATATGTATTTATATGTTTTTATTTACTGTAAATACGTTTATTGTAAATTTTATTCAATTTCTTGTGATGATTCTTGACCATTTATATTTATATGTATATATATATTTTTATTATTATTATTTTTTTATTATCTTTACATGGGATGGGTATGATGGGTTTGATTATTGCTCCATTAAAACACACTACATTATCACTTAAAACTGAAAGTCAAAACAGATACATAAATGTTCTAATGCAACAACTGCTTAACCATTTTTTTCATTTAAGTCATATTATAAAATAATTGTTTGTGAGGCTATTTAAATAAGGCATTCGATACAGAGCACAACACAGATGTTGTACTCGTTTGGCTGACAGAAGAGCAGTGCATAGGTCTGAATGGACGAACGCGTCAGTGGTGTCTCCTTACCCGACTGCGAGCAGAAATGCCACGGCGGAGGCTAAATAGTTGGACTGGTAATACAGCAGGTTGTTAATGATGCGGTTGTTCCACCGATCTAAGTTACGGACATCGGGCACCGAGAATCGGGCCGAACCCAGCAGAAAATCGTCCAGGGTTCGGAAAGGCGGAGGCTGAACGTCCACCATTTTTGACGCTTCTGGTGACTACATTTACCAGCATGCATTGCAAACCCACAGCACTGAAACTAATGGGAGAAAAGCTGTCAAGTAGCCTACAAAAACACACATATGGAGGACGAAACCTGCAAAAACAATAAATAAAGAAATACACACATAAAGAAATAAATATGCAAATAAATAAATAAATGTCTGTATAAATACACAAATTATTGTTTAAATACATATAGAAATAATTAAACGATTAAAGTAGGCAAATAAAGAAAATTAATTGGTGGACAAATGGAAAATGTTTAAGGAAATGCTAAACTCATCCTAACTATTATCGTTTGATCCCTCGTGTATTTCTGAATGTTGTTCCGCATTTATTTTTCCTCTGCACAACATGCTAATGAGAGGGTGTCAACCATGGACTTGCTTGGGTCTTGTGATAGCTGGGTGCACGGCTTTCCCGCTGACTGGAAATGCATGGTGTTAATCCAGTATAGCCTAGTAAAGGAATTTTTTCCGTTCAACAGAGCAAGATACATAAAAAACTGAGCTGTATTGTCCGTACAGTATCTGTGACTTTACAAACGACCCAAAGAAATGGCCAGTGTCGTTTCCCGACGTCATTTTTTGTAACCCGATTGAGTCTCCAGCTACAGACAACTGTAAAATCAGTATCCCATGTTCATCGTGAGATGACTGGTATGAAGTGGTTTAATCGAGGAACAGACCGTTTTTTCACATTTGTTATCAGAACAGAAAATACAGGTGACAAAAGTATGTTTATTAAGCAAATAACAGTTCAGTATTGCAATTAGGAGCTACGCAAGCATTAATATTTTACATTGGCCACTTAAAATCTTTTATGATTTAGCTCTCTCATGATTATAACTACAAAACTAACACTATGAAAAAGTGTAAGATAATAATCAGTCCCCTTGACTGATGAAGTTAATACGCATGCGCAGGCAAACGCTCACACACGATCCGCCTACTCTTGCATAATTGACACCCTCTCATTAGCATGTTGCGCAGAGGAAAAAAAAAAGTGGAACTACATTCAGAAATAAATGAGTGATCAAAGGAAAATAGTTAGGATGAGTTTAGCATTTCCTTAAACATTTTCCATTTG